TAGAATTATAGTTACTTTAAAGATTTTTTTAACAATCAAGATTTTATAAGATTGGATTTTAAATGATTTTAATAGAATTTATAAGATTTAAAAGGACAATATGAATTTATAAGATTTTAAAATATTATATAAATTTTTAACAAACATTCAAAATTTCAAGAATCAATAAAAAAAACAAAGAAATACAATGATATTAATAAAAAAAAATAAAACCTAATATAATTTTCTTAATCCGTAACTTGATGTCCTACTAAGCACCAGCTCGTCACATATCTATATTAGCCCTCCCCTCATCAGCATTTTTTCGTTTCTGCTCGTGGGTTTTATCAATAGATTGAAAATTATCTTCTTCATTTGGTATCAAAGCTATGCATATATGATTATAAGACCCACACTTTTTTATTTATAAAATAATTATAAATTTGCATATAGAACCTAAGATTCATGATATAATTTCGTTTGGAATTTTTTATAATTGATCTTAGAAACTTTTGGATATTTGTTCTACGTGATAAGAGTTTTCTAACCATATACCATATGCATATTTTCATTTAGTATTCTAAGAAAATTTTGAATATGAATTTCTCGGTTTTATTACATTAAAGATTAGAAAAAAAATTGAATTATTTTTAATTGATTTTGAAAAACAAATTCTTAGTGATCGATTGACACAAAAATTGTTTGAAATCATTTCATAAAGCGAAAGAATGTATTGTGGGATTATATTATAAAAGTTTCAATATTTTTTTAAATCGATCTTGTTTCATTAATGTAAATGGAAAATTGGTTTGAGGGTTTTTGTTCCTTTGTTGTTTTCCCACTATTTTATGTTGTTTTGAAAACAAAAATTACATCTTTTGTGCGAAGAAAAATCGTGACCCATATATTAAAAATAATTTTTTAAACTTCCAAAATCTCTAAAATATCGCTCAAAAATACGTTGATTTTGAAATGGATTAATTAGAATCTTGTTAGGTTATTATGTATGGGTTGTTTTGTAATAAAAATCGCTCAAAAATATTACTTCTGAGCTTTAATGAAGCTACCTCGGCGGAACTCAATTTTAAGCGGATCGACCCTCCAAAAAAAGAAGAAGACACTGTAATAGAAAAATATCAAGAAATTCTAGGATTATTGAGATAGAGATATTCTATTTAAACTTCTCACTTAAAAAGTCACATAAACCACTAAAATCATTAGATTTTGAATACCACAAAATTATTTTCTTTTTTTAAAATCCTGATTAAATATTAACGGACTCTAAAATAATTTTTTAAAGTCCAAATTGAATATCACGTAAGTTTTTTTTCAATCTTTTAAAATTTCAATTATATACCAATAAATTTTTTATTAAAAAAATAATTCATTAAAATCTTTTAAAATCTAAATCCAATAAACTCCTTATTTATGATCGAGGGGTTAGTGTTTGTTTATTGATTCCTCTCCTGGTAGTAGTAAATTATTACAACACAACATCGAGGTCAGGTCTTTACAAATGTCTTAATCAAAAGCATTCGAGACTAGCGCTACATAGACTAGTCATTACTCAAAAGATATAATAATAAACATAACCGAATTTTTTTAAAAAAAGTGTCAAAAAAGATATTACAGAATACAAAAAGACATAATTCGAACCCACCCACACACTAGGTAGCTTTCTCAACGATTGATATAACTATGCAGTAAAAAATAAAAAATTTAAAAAATTGAATCGCATATGATTAGATATGATGTGAGGATAAACAAATTGAGATTGGCGTTGTGAAATTAATCCGTCAACAGGGTACGATGAATTCAAAGCAGTGCACGCTATCCAACTCAGGCGCAAACCTGGCCCTCGAACGGGGCGGGTGTTTCTTGGCTTCAGCAATTGAAGATGGATTCAGATCTTTTCTGGCGGCGGTTTTGGAGGATGCAGTGCCTTCTGTATTATTGGGCTTAGGATTTCCATCTTTTACAAGGCCCTCGACCAAGGAAAACCTCTGGCCCAGGCCCAGCAAGATCTCGAAGTGGCTGAACATGGACGACAACATGTTGTTGTGTTCTGTGTGGGTTTGACGAAAAAAACGATGAAGGAAGGAAGGAAGGAACTTGTTGATATGTGTGCTTCTTTAATCGGTGATCAATTAGGTGTGCCTGCATGAATAAAGCGATGATGGTTAGTATTTATAGTGGAAGATTCATATGGAATTTTCGTGAAGTTTCTTTGTACGCGTGGACTCAGGACTGGCCTGGAAGTCTCTTGCATTGACGCGTAGATTGCTTGCTTGTTCAACCTTCGTCCTTTTTGACTCGTCATTAAAGAGAGTAAGCCAACTTTGATTCAATTGAATTTCTGATCACTTTCTTGGTGACTCTATATGTGCTTGACCAACTATATACTAATATTATTGTTCAGATAGAATATAAAATTTACCTGTGCTTGTTGATGGTGTGATTCCGTGTAGCTATTGATTCATCGATGATGACCGTGTGTGCTATTGGGGAGAGATGTGGTGGTGTAAAATCAAGATGAATATATAAGGGTTTAACATCTGTATTTATAGAAAAAGTTTACCTCAAGATCGGAGAGTCTAAGTAGGATTTAGAATTTTAATTAAATAAATCTCATTATCAATGATTCGTATCTTGAATTAAGATTGACTTCTATTTTCATCTTCTACAACCTATGGAATATATTATGTTTGTCCAGAATAATTATTATATTATAATTATGATATTTATATGTAGGATACGGCTCTTGCTGAAGTTAATGGGCTTTCTCTCATCCAGGGGCGAAGGATTTCAGAATCTGCATAGATTTGTATCCGAAAAGAAAAAGAAAAAGAATCTGCATAGATCCAAAGAAAGAAGAGTTCAAGAACTCAATCCTAAATCTTATGACAATAATTAAGCAAAAATATATCCAATGCTTGAGTCTGTCTTATAAATAAGATGTACATGGGGGTGTTCAAAACCAAAAGATTTGAATCAAAAAATTAAAATAAAAAGAGATAAATTAATTGAACTTGATTGATTTTCTGATCCAAATTAAAAAAATTCATCTAATCCAAATCAAACTAAAATTATATCTTTTTAAATAATATTTATTATTTGCTTAAGAAATTTTCATATTATCCATACTCATTTAGAAACTTTCTTACTATATCCCAAGTCAAACTTAATTTCTTCTTGAAAATTTGGACATATTGTGGAATTGAAAATAAATTTAAAATTTAGATTTGTATTTTGATATATTTTAATGAACTTGTTTGAATCTAATGTATGTTGATAAATTAGTTTAGACTTGTATTTAATGTATAATGATAAAATTAAATTTTTAATTAATTAAATTCAATAACTCGAGTGCTCCGCCAGATCCGAGATCAACGCATGCAACAGAGGGGGTGAGCGCAAAGACAAGCCTTAGTGGGGGAATCACACCTCAATCGGTTTAATCCTAAATTTTATAGGCTTATATGATACACCATCCCAGGTATATATATCATGTCACGTTTAAAATTATATAATAACTCCTTTAAAATGACTCAAAAATATTTTCATTTAATTGATAATAAAATATCTATAAAGCCCAAAGAAAGTCACAAAGAAGTTCAATGTAAGATCAAAGCCCATATAAATCCAACAAAAAACCAAGGATCAAATTCCATGCTTGGAAAAATAGACATAGGGTAACTTTTCAAAGGAACGTACAAAATCTACACTACAAACTTGATTCGAGGCCAAAACTAACATGCATTTGATTCATTATGAGCCTTAAAACTTCTTTGTTGAGCTCTCAACTTCAAGTATGCAATAAATTATTATTATTATTATTTTGGGATTTATCATAGTTCATCAATTAATCGATCAATTCCATTGTGGCAGGACTAAAAAGACAACAAAATTATTCGTACCAAATTCTTAACACAATTGCGCACTTAGGACTTGAACTCAAAATTACTAAGTAAGCTATTTGATCCATGTGCTTGTAAACTAAATCATTTTTACCATCAAACATCAAACTTAGTTTCACAAAATAATATTAAACACAACTATTAGTAAAGTTCTTAACTATTTTTCCCACAATTTTCTATAGGGAGCGTTTGGTAGAGGAAAAAAAAATTTATCCAGGAATCTTGATTTTCATAAATATGATAAAAACATTCAGTTTAAGATAATATCCGAAAATGAAAAATTTAGAAAAATTTAGAAAAATTTAATTTCTCGGGAATCCTACAAAATACCTTGTATCAAACACCCGCCGAAAAAAATTTAGTCTGCTTTTAGTTTGATAAGAACTGACGGAAAACAGGTCTATGTGCAACCTAAGGCTGCAACCAGTTTCATTATGTAGGAATGTTTCAACAGGATGTAAAAATTTTCGTATAGCTTTTTAACCAACCATTCCAAATTCAGACACCCATACAATTAACATCTCAGGACAATAACATTACTATTAGCGCATCGGTATATAGCCTTGAATTCTCACTGGATTTTTATATCAAATGCACGTTGCATAAAAGACATTTCAGATTGTGATTACCACATTTGAATAAAGCTTTAGTTTAAATGCAGATGATAATAAAGAAGAAACTAGCAATTTCTAGTGCAAAGATGATAAGGTCTCTTTCATATACTAAACATATAAACAAGCTATTCTTAACCAAGAGACAGTCATTCATAAATTACTAGAAACAAAAGATTAAGCAAATACAAAACAAAAAAAGTTTGCTGTGTTTCAGTGTTGGTCCTTGCTTCTTCTTTTATAGCATTTTACACAACTCAAGACCTTCCAGCAGATTATAATCCCTGTAAAATCATAAAAAGTTAAAGGCACAAATAATTGAGATATTGAAATGACAACAACACTTTAGTATGCCTACACTACTATGTTACTACCCATTCACCTACATACCACACTAAAGTGAACTAACTGAATCCCACACTAAAATATTGCAAAGAGTACATAAAGCAATTACCAAGGATAAGGGTAATGTCATTAACCTCTTCTTCTAGCTCTACAATTGAGCATCCTGTACACCATCACCATCAAGCAAGAGAAGGCTTCTGGCACAGACCATTGTTTTAAAGCCTAAAGGCATAACACTAATCTTGACCTCTTCAATTTCCCCACTGATGCGATCATACCAAAATAGTTCCTTGGATTCCTTTTCCATAAGCACCTTTACACTAGTCTTGGAAAAAACCAATGGCTTGCAAGGCAATGCACAATTTTCAAAAATGAAGAGTCTACACCAAGACTCATTCACTCCATACTCCTTCATCAACCAAACCTCTTGACGAGCCTTTGCATTATCATTCAGACACATGCAGAGACGGCCATCCAGAACAGTCAAACACGAGAGAGACACACGTTCCACATTAAATGGAACAAGAAGCTTGTGATACCCTTCATTTGCAAGATCAAAAGCAATAACAAATTTGACCCGTTCGCTTGAATCCCTGTCACAAACCAACCAATGTAAAGCACCGTTGGCATGTACTGAGGGAGTACAAAGCTTTAAATCATTGAAAGGCAAGTCAGGAACCTTTGTCCATGAATTTTTCCGAAAAGAATAAACCTTAACCTCGGAGGTCCAAATATTATGCTTGCAATAATCATATATATACCAATCAGCATAAAGCACTAGCCTAACAATCTTATGATCACCACTTTCTAAGTCAAACCCAAATCCAAAATCCACCAAAACAACACTACCGGGAAATCCACGACACTCGAAACCAGGTAAAGTCAACATCTTTTGCTTCCGCAGTATTGGGTTCCAAAGCACACATTCATTGGCCCAAGCTTTGGTGACCAAAACAAGGCCATCGCAATGACACATTCGAACACGATCTTCTCTAAAGGGAAGATGAACCCTTAAAGGGAAGCCCGAGATTGCATCATCATCAAAGGGTGTTAAACAGAGGATTCCATTCTCGTAACGCGATTGTTCAAAGATAAGCATGCCATGGTTGGGATTGAGGGTTCTAACAGAATGAAGAAGATGGAGTTTGATGAATTGGGGTTGTTTGATGAATGAGTACCATGTCTTGCAAACGCAACGTAAGCGCAGAATAGCATCAACTGGTAACCATGAAAGTATTTCAGCTATAATCTCCAGCGGTAAGTTCATTAGTGTTTGATGATGAATAATTGTGATAGAGAGATTCTTTGGGACTATGGTTCTCATCCTTAATTTCTTATATATTAATTTATTAATTTAATCCCTCATTAATTTAAAATTAATCTCAACTCAATCCGTTCATTAACTAATCATTGATAATGTAGATTAAATCCACAAATGTCAATGTGAAAATCTCATATGACATTACAATAAGCAATATATTCATTTTTTATTAGCATATCACAATCAACAATCAGCATTCAACTCTTCATATATATATATGTTTATGCTCTCTTTTTCCATCACCATTTTAATATCTTATATTTGCCGTCGCATAGTTGCCCTCTCCAAATTGTTCATTGTTCCCACGGATGCAAGTAAGCTAAAAAGAGAGATTTTGAATCTTTTGATCCTTATTCTATGAACTCGTGCGCATTGGACCTCTTTCTTTTGGTCGGCCTTGTGCCTATTGGGATTATATTCGTCCCTATCCTATGCAATTGAGTCATTTTTTTTTTCCTTTCACATTTACTAAAAAATAATATTGAATTAGTAACATTAATGTAAATGGAGACAAATAAGAGAAAATAAAAAGAGAGAAAAATGACATTATAACTTGAGTAAGAGGAATGAGAATGAATCAGATCTTGGAGAAATTTTTGAATACTCCTATTAGTGAGTCATTTATTTATAATCTTACAATATTAATTCACTTTTATTTTAAAAAAATGACATCTTAGGAAACCACATTGGATTCGAAGATGGATCAACCATAATTGGATTCTACAAAGCAACCACGTTTCTCGATTAGCAAATTCATGTGCTAACTGGTTGGCACAATTAGGCTCTACGACTAGTTTAATATATCATGATTTGTTGGAGCCTCCTCTAAGTTTATGTAATTTACTTACTAAAGACATTATGTGTAGCCTTTCAAAGGCTACTTTGTTGAGCCTGTTTGTTTGAGCTTTTAGAAAAAGTAACTTTTATCTCTTCCTTATTTTAAAAGTATTTTTGATAAAAGTTAAAGTTATTTATATTTTTATAAAAATATTTAATTTTTGAAATAAATATTTAACTTTTGACTTCTACTTTTTTTAGAAGTTAAAATTTTTAGCTTCTAAAAAAAGTAAATTTTTGACTTTTTTTTGTGATTTCTATTTTTTTAAAAAAATAAATGTCTAAATGAACTTAAAGTGAGAAGTTTTTTTTTTCTTAACAGCTTTTGAAAGAAAAAAAAAACCCATCAAAATGGATCCTTAGTCTCCTTTTCTTTTTGGGCTAGTGCCTTCCTCCTGTACCAAAATAAAAAATAAAAATGACATCTTGTACAATGATATTACTCTCAATCTTTTGTAAAATGTTTTTTTATACATTCTTTTGGGATTTTCTTAAAGGTAAAGTGTGTATCATTCTAAAGGATGTAAAGTTGTGTCATTTTAAGTGAGAGAATGAGATAGATAAAGGAGGAGAGAGAGTGGACAAAAAATATAAAGGTGTGGATCCCACCTCTTTGTGAGAGTGAAAAGATATAAGTTGTGTCATTTAAAAGGACAAACAATTTTCCCTTTCTTAAATACCTTTTTAGTCAATCTGCCTTTATAAATTTTTTGATGTATTGGGCAGGGCCCTAATTAAATGTTTCATTATACTACAGCTTAGCCCAAGCCTGTTTGGATATATAATTTCAGCCAAAGGAAAAAAAAAAACCCAAATTAATTTGAAGGCCCATGTAATGTAATGGGTATCCAAAATAGAAGAAACCCTAGTGGATCATCTCCGTGCCAACATTATATATATCGCAGCTCTCACTTTCCAAACCCTAATATCGTCTCTGACTCTCTGTGCCACTAAAGCTCCTAATTGGATCTCTGCTCAGCAATGGGTTCCAGCGAGTTGGGTTGCACCTACGCCACTTTGATTCTCCACGATGATGGAATCCCAATCACCGTGAGTCTATTATCTCCTTACCATTCTTCGTTTTTTTGATCCGTCCATGACAGGTTTCGATTTCTGTGTTCTAATAACAACCCTTTGTTTTATAGGCGGAAAAGATTAGCGCTTTGTTGAAAGCGGCTAACGTCACCGTTGAATCCTACTGGCCCAGCCTATTCGCTAAGCTTGCTCAGAAGAGGAACGTCGAGGACCTTGTTTTGAATGCTGGTTCGGGTGGTGGTGCAGCCGTTGCTGTTGCTGCTCCTTCTGCCGCCGGTGGCGGCGGTGGTGGTGCCGCCGCCGCTGCAGCACCTGCCGCTGAGGAAAAGAAGGTACAAATTTTGATTCCTTTAATGAATATTCATCTTTTCAGATGATACTCGAGAATGCTATATTAATCTTGATGCGTTGTTAGTTTTATTGTGTTTATTTTTCTGGATCTGATCTGAAGTACTTTGCTGGCTTTTGTTACTGGTTTGAGAGTAGACTTATGTTCTGATCTAGTTGTGGGACAAAGAAATTTGTATAATTAGCTGCGTTTAAGTTATAAATAAATATGTACCTGACTTGCCAATTAGGGGCTTCATTGTGCTTTCGGGTGATCACATATCTTCATAAAACAATTGTTTTCCATATTTGCTCACTCTAACAACTCAAATGAACCACAATATTGGAACAGATTGAAGAATGATGAAATAGTAGAAAACAATTTATTATTGAAATTTGAGAATGAAGAATGATCATAAGCATTAAAGCTTTTTGAGTAACTTCTAAGTTTGTTATAGTATCATAGCTTGATGCTGTACGAACTACAGCTATTGAGTTAAGATTATACACCTTTAAAGAATGGACAGCTTTGGATATATTATATTTACAATTAATCTACCATTAACAATGAATTATGTTTACAATCTCGCAGCTTTCTGTGTGGCATGCGTTGTGCTTCGAGTGATGTGTTTCCTTTTTGCAATGTGCTTTATCATTCTCTGTTTTTAGGTTTTAGGGTATACTAATATTTTTTTGTAACATACTTACCGCTACCTCAATTTGTGTTCATTGCTTAACTTACTTATTTTTGTGTTTATAGCTGAATTTGGTTATTTTTGTCTTCAAAGTTGCTTTTGCTTTATTATTGAACTTGCACTTCTGAATTTGTGTTTGCAGGAAGAGCCTAAGGAAGAAAGTGACGATGACATGGGTTTCAGCTTATTTGATTAGGTCTTTCTTTTAGTTTTTGTAGTCAAACTAGTACTCCTTTTAATGAGGGGTGGGTGAATGAAACTTGTTTTGTTCTATAAAATTTTTATCGACTATCATAATTAATTGTTGAATTTTGGTGGGTTTTTTTAATATATTTGTGGCATCTGAATTTCTGATTGACTTGTTTATTTTCTTATTCTGTTTGTCATCATATTTAGGCATGTCTCTCCATTCACTTTTAGTGTGCCAGAATTTTTTTTTTCAGCAAAAGGTGAAACATTAAATCCTTTAAAAAATTACCTCCAACAAAATTTTTCGTCGACATTGATAATAAATGTTAACAATACTTTATAGGAAAAATCATACGGGGATTATGGCACACCCCTTGCAATAGAATGTATATCGATGTTGCATTTATTTTGTTCTATTTTTCTTTAAGCCGACGGTGTAAAAATAAAGATAAACTTAAGTTCTCGTTTATTTTTTATGAACGGCCGCTTGATGAGTTCTTGGTCCTTAGTATTTGAGTTAGCAAGGGAAGCATCATTGGCAATGACTATGTTCTCGTTTAGGCTAAAAGGCCTTGCTCTTTATTTGTGATGGTTGAGTTTGGGTTACGAGTTATTTTTCATGGTTTTAATGTTTTTACAGTGAATGTAGAGTTTTTAAAATGATATTTTTTTGGGTTAAAAATTAAAAAAATAGAATGAAAAAGATTATTATAACTAAGAGTGTAAATGAGCTAGGTTGGCTTACGGCTTAGCTTATATTAGGCTAGGTTTGGCCTATTATAAATAGTAAAATAGAACAGACTTAAACTTTTAAAAAAACTTATTTAGAAAATAGGTTATAGACTTTTTTTGTAATGTCGGGCCTATAAGCTTACATGTTAATCTATATTATATTATTTATTTAAAATATAATAAATAAAATTACTATTTTAATAATTTTGAATATTATAATAATATTATTTTAATTATTCTTTTAATTGTTGAATGTTTAATAGACTTAAACAGCTCTAGGCTAAGGCTTATATTTTTTAAATATAGATGAGGTCAAATTTGTAATTTGAGGCTTACATAAGCTTTTACAAAGACATGGCCTATTTAAGCCAAAGTCTAGCCTAGCCTATTTACATTCCTAATTATAACCCTGAAATAAATTATAAATACAAAAATATCTTGATTTTCACATGAAAATGATGTTTTAGACTCAATGTAGATAAATTATCTATCGTAGAAAAAACAAACCCATTTTTTATTTGGTGTCTCTTTGCGTTTTTGTAAATATATTTTTGGTGGGAAACTGGGAACAAAATGTTTGGGCGTGTTTGGATCGGTTAACTACCGATTTAATTTATATAAAATCTATTTTTTTTTTTTGTTTAGCATATAGTGCTAGGAAAATGTTGTACGGAAAGTTTTTAAGGAGTAGAAAAGGGGTGATATTATTTTTATTCTAAATTAGGAGAACTATATAATAAATTATAAAATAAGTAAAGGATTATCTCCAAAAAAAGAAAAAAAGTAAAGGATGTTTGGAAGGTTTTATGATATTTATTGTTTAATTTATTTCATTTTTAAAAATTCTTAAATCAAAAAATAATTACTTAGAATGTAAAACGTATTTAAGTGAAAAAATGTATTTCCCCTCTTTTATATAGATACGATTGTAGTTTTTTTAAATGTTTATATTATATGAAAATTTTAGCTTTTGTTTTCATTTCCATAAAAACAAGTGTAAAAAATACGCCTAATTAAAACCCCCTAAAAATGAACAAGTACAAGTATAAAATTGTGGTACATATTAGTTAAAATCTCGATTTAAATCTGCAATTTTACGATTTTATGGTTTTTTTCAATCATAACAATTTTATCAAAATTACAAACGCTTTTATGATTTTTTTTACGGTAAAATTTTACATTTTACAATTTTTTATCCTATTTTTGATTTTAGGTAAAATCCCTATTTATGTCAAGAATCATTAAATACCCAATTCCCACTAGATACCCCTAGGAGATGTTTAACAATATGTCTACCGGACTAAGAATGGGATCGCGTACTTAAATGGGTGTTTAGATACCCTACCTTTACTAGATCCAATATCAGCTCTACTTTTACTTGCTAAAATTGGCTTTATGTCTAATTTAATTTTTTTTTAAAACTTTTTCATGTACAATAAACAAAGGAAACCAGCTAAATTACTTTTTTTTTTTTTAGTTTTTGTCTTCAATATATATATATATATATATAGGATCAGGATCATTTTACACGTCTTACACCATATCTTAACCGTTAATTTTACTACATCCAACAGTTATAATTTAGAAAATCATATGAATTAATTAATATTAATTAATCATTAATTATACTACAAATACCAACCGATAATTTCCGTCCATCAACGATTGAGATGTGGTGTAAGACTTGTTAGTCTTATGCGGTGTAAAAAGAATCTGCCCCATATATATATATATATATATATATATATATATATATATATATATATATATATATATATATATATATATCTTTTTTGATCTAACGGCTCTCAGATGATGTGTCAAACTTTAAATTTGACACCAGTGTCAAAGGATCTCATCTCATATATATATATATATATATATATATATATATATATATATATAGGTTTATTATTTCTCAAGCTGCCGGAGATAATTTTATCTCCGGCTACCAAATCATAACCGTACAAAGATAGATCAATGGTAATAAAGAAGAGACAGAAAAAGGGAATCATAATGTGAATCAATTAATATAAGGAAATAAATAAACAAAAGACGTAGTTTTGGGTAGCCGGTGATAAACTTATCTCAAAGCTGCTTGAGAAATATTTTTTCCATATATATATATATATATAGGGAAAAACATTTCTCCGACAACTTGAGATAAGTTTATTTCCGGCCACCACAAAACTACGTCGTTTTGTTTATTTTTTTTTTATATTAATTGATTCACCTTTGAATGGTTATGATTTTCTTTTTCTCTCTCTTTCTTTATCACCATTTATCCATCTTTGTACGGTTATGATTTAGTAGCCGGAGATAAGATTATCTCAAGAAACTTGAGAAACTTGATTCCTTTATTTTAGAATTGTTCATTAAACTCATCAATTTGTTTTTTTTTTTTTGGTGTGGAATTTGCTTTTATTTTAACAAAGTTCACTACGACTTACATAGATCTACTTCAATTTATACATTTATTATAAATTTAATTCGGCGAGTCAAATTCTCTTTATTTATTTTTACATTGCCGACTTTAGTAGACTACATAAAAAAAATTGATTAATAATAACAATTATCAAAGGTGAGGAAGACAAAAGAAAAAAAATATGAAAGATGATGAAACAAAATGAACAAATTATCAAAGATGATAATGCAAAAGAGCCAATGACTTTGCAATTCAATAGGAAACAAATCATAGTGGAACGTTTAAAATGCAATTTATCAAAGCAACCCGAAAATAAATAACAAAACTTTAATGAAGTATAACGCCTGAAAAAAAATGATAAAAAATTTCAATAACAAGTTCTCATGAACTCAGGGTGCAATTGGTATTTTTATTTTTACTAGACCCTGTTAATAGATTAAAGAGGTAAAAAAAATCTCAGCTATACGCATTAAAAGGCATATGGAAAGAGTGAAGTGCAGGGAAAGCAAAAGGGTTGTTTTATGAAAAATACAAAACGTGTTATCGAACAATTTTAAGGCAAATAACGTAATGAAATAGGGAGAGGTTATAGTTACATTTTTTTTTTTTATAACCATATATTATAACCGTTGATTTTCGTCAATCACCGGTTATGATTTTCGCAAATTAATTTTATTAATTAATTATTAATTCATAATAAATAACAACCGTTGATTAACGAAAATCAACAGTTACGATGTATGATTATAAAAAGTTATAAAAAAAAAAATTATAAGTATAACCTTCCTCGATGAAATAATCTTAATTATTATAAAAATCTGAAACCTATTGTTACCAATATAAGTTTCTATTGTAAAATAAATAAATAAAATTACGTGAATCAATTTATTCCAATTAAAATTTGTAATTAGGATGGTATCTTCCGTTTCACCATTCATGAATCGATGATAGTGAGAATGTTCTCAACTGAATACTCAAAAAGACGGGAGAGTATAGTTGAATAAAAGATCCATGATAGTGAGCGTGAGCGTGATCTTGGATCGAAGAAGCCGCATTCACGCAAACTATAATTCCAGATTCCAGAATCATACAAGAGAAGAAGAACACATCTCACTCCAAACACACACTGTGAAGAAGAGCGCTTGAGAAGGAGATCCAATCGAGCATCCAGCTGAGACTCCCAAAGCCACTTGCTGAGTGCAAAACTTTCTTATTTTGCTATTCCCCAAATTGCACCGTTCCGCATGCTCCAAAGGAATTAATTTCATGTACGCTTTTCTTATTGTATTGTAAGAAGCAAATCCCTAGTTATCTTATTTGGTCAACGCCAATTTGCATACGCTTAATTCTTTATCTCAGATTATGTGCCTTTATTTGTTATTTGTCAAGCACTTACTGTGTTTGCATGTTTCATTATGTCCGAATGATATATGCATATGCTGCTTTGGTTCTCATTTATTTATTTTTTAATTTTTTTTCACCCAAGACTTTTATCGTATGTCATCCACTTTTTTCTTATGATCTGACTAGTTAAACAATGTGTCTTTTCAGTAACATCATTTTTAATTTTTGTTTAGAGTAATTCCTGGTTTCGATCCTTTTGGCAGTTGGATTAGGATTAGGATTAGGATTAGGATTACTATGAAAAATGTTTTCATTTGAAGGATATAATTATATTAAATGAAGTTTGTGATGAAATTGGTAATTGGATCGAGGTACACAGATGTAAAACATTCTTTTTGGATGTTGTACTTATCAACTCTGTGCTTGTGCTCTGTGCTGTATGTTTGTTTGATGAACCAGTTTGTTGGTACATTTTCTTGTAGATGTTGCAGCTAAGTTCAAAGTCAGCTGGTTGGTGATGTTGTGTCACTGAGCCAAGATGGCATTCATAACTAAGATAAAATGGGTTGTTCTGTCTGTATTCACTTTATCTGTGGCATCTATCATCATTCATCTGTCTTTGACAAAGTTGTGGACTGTTAACATAGGGCAGTACAAAGCACTGCCTATTCTTTCCGAAGATTTTGCTTCCATGTTGGGAAGACAGGTTAGTTTGGATTATACATGTATCCGCTGCACGTGTATGGTCATGTCTTTTGTGTTTCACTTAAGTTATTTTGACTTTATTTGCTTGAAATGCTACAGGGTATAAAGAATAAGAAGCTATGGGGTTCCGTAAAGTCATTGGAAGCATTGCAGCCTAATGCCAATGCTAGAAGCAATTATTCTGGTAAAAATTTTGCTCAAATTTCTTAGCTCTTTATTAGGGAGACATGGGAGGAATGGAAATATGCAATTTACATTTGTAGTTAAGTGGATATGGCATAAAACTTTATTGAAGTGTAAATATTTTACATCATTATGATCTGTTTTTGGTTTTCACTGACATATATAAGTTCTAAGAACTAATCTCCCGTACTCTTTTTCCATTGCAATAGGTATTATCAAGTAACTAGAATCTGGATTATGGGGATCTGTGCTCTATACAATCTTGGAGATGATTAATTTTTCATAGAAATTACTTTCGTTGTTTAAAAGATCTTTAAAATAAGATTTTGCTTATTATCTGTTTTGAAACATTTTTATTTGAGTGTAACTAGAGTCGAAAACTAAAGATTTGTAGGATAACCTTGAGTTGAATTTAAGTTTGTCTAAGGATGTACGTTATTGAGCTAATATTTTTTGTGACTTTGATGTTTGAAATTTTTTAACAGAGAGCTGTTGTACTCACTGTATTAAAATTATATATTTTTCCTTCATTTTTCATACGTGTGTTGATTTCATCCTCTACATCTTCCACTTCAAGTTTGTGTTTCTTTTCTTTGTAGTTCCAAAGGAGCAGGGAAATGGTTTCATCTATGCAAAAGTTTCTGGTGGGTTCGCAAAGATAAGATCATCGGTATGATCCACCAGATATGTAGAATTCTTTTTTCTTTTTTTTTTTAAAGATTGAAAAGTCATTTTCTATTATTGTTTGTAATTTAACAACAGTTTTCTTGATTTTACAGATCTGTGATCTGGTCGCCATATCTAGGCTTTTAAATGCTACCCTTGTCATTCCAGAAATTCAAGAAAGTACTCGCGCAAAAGGAATTAGGTAGGTACTGCATGGTTTCTGCAGTCATTACTCATTAATGCGGCATTGTGCTTTATGCTATTAATATTTTCTTGCTATGATGCATGTATACATAATTTATTTGTTTTTAAATTTTTATTCAGCTCAAAGTTCAAGAGTTTTTCCTATCTTTATAATGAGGAGCAGTTCATAGCATATCTCAAAAATGATGTAATCATTGCAAAGACCCTGCCTGAAAGTTTGATTGAAAGGAGAAGAAGAAATGAATTTCCTACATTCAAACCCACAAGTTCAGCTTCTTCAAACTTTTACATCAAAGAAATCTTACCAAAGCTAAAGAAATCAAAGGTTATTGGATTAATTATTGCCAATGGTGGAGCTCTGCAGGTATTCCAATATTCTGAAATTGTCAATTAAAGTTAAGTTATTGTTGCAGTCTTGTAGATGCTGTTGTCTACTGCAGGAAATATCGGTCTTTTGTTATTTGTGGATAACTTTATCTATATAAAAGAAAGTTAGTAAATTATTCATCTTTGAATGCTATCAAAAGTACTTAGTGCTTAGAAGTTTGAATCTTGAAGTTTTGCAGTAACCTTTGCTTGAGATCTTATTATTGGCCTGGCATCTCTTTTCGTGTGATTATTGCTGACTTCTTTACTCGTCATGGACTTTGTACTTATGTTGATATACTTTATCAGCTTAGCTTCATTCTTATGCAAACCAGGAAAGTTTGAACAAGTTAATAAATGCATATAAGAAGTGGAGAACTTTTACTCTCTATCAAATTCTTCATGCTTGATAATTTGATTCTTAGATTCCCAGAAATTCATCATATATTTTGGGCTTTGCATGTTGCATGTTGGTCAATTTTCTTTTTATTTGCTACATTTTGATCCTTTTTTTTTTTGTATATATAAAAAAAAAATACATTTTGATCTTTAAAAATATGAAGGAAGGGATTTAATTCCTTCAGCATTTTGCCATCACCGTAACCTTCCCATGCATTTTCCCTCTATTCAAATGCTTCCTTATGTTGTGTTTTCACTGTCCCATGGGCATTGCTTGTTTAGTGTACTTGAAGCTTCTTAGATACTAGAATTTCCATTCTTACACTTTTTTTTTGTGCATGTGTATTTTTTCAAAGTTGCTAGAGTTAACTTGAGAACAATATACATTTTTGCAGTCAATACTCCCTCCTAGCATGGCAGAGATTCAGAGGCTAAGATGCAGGGTTTCTTTCCATGCCCTTCAATTTCGTCCAGAAATTCAAATGCTTGGCCGTCGGATGGTTCACAAGTATGAATACCTTTCAATTAAACAAATTGATCTGCATTTGCTTTATTATCACATAGATTACACCCTTGCTTTTTGGCCACTGCCAAATTTCCTTTTTGGGATCTTTAAAATTTGTGATGCTGTCTGCTTTATTATGACATAGAATATGAGGGTTAGAAATTATAGGGTTTAGCTTGCTGGTAGAGTTTTATATGGATTTTCTGTATGGTGGTCATGCTATGTCCATAAGTCACTAACGTTTCATGGAGTTGATGAATAAGAGATTTCTGCTGTCTTTTTAAGGTTAAGAGCATTGGGGCAACCCTTCTTAGCATTCAATCCTGGTTTACTGAGAGAAACCTTGGCATACAATGGTTGCGCAGAACTTTTTCAGGTTTGCTCTGTTTTTCTCTTTTGTATTTGCCTTGAACTAATGGAGCTATTGTTCTACTTCTACAGTGCATTATCTTTTAGGGGATCATTTCTTCTAAATTCTTTTTAGTAGTATAGAGTACATTAGAAATTGGTAATATTTGAATTAAGCCATCAATGTTCAGTTTTTCCTCCTCTGTCCGTCCTTTTTTTTTCTTTTTTCCTTTCTCCTGTTATTTTGTTAAGGTTTTGTTTTGTTAGGACGTACACACTGAACTCATACAACATCGAAGGGCTCAAATGATAAAGGAAGGAATTCTTGATGAGGAATTGAATGTGGATTCACACTTGCGAAGAGATAAAGGTCTATGTCCGCTCATGCCTGAAGAGGTATGCTAAATTTTACCTTAGGGTTAACTGGTAATGAAGATGTGGTTCTTGTGCTATTTTCAGTTATAATTGCTGTCGCTTCTAATATTTTCTTAAAATAGCCTTTTGCACTTGAGGAGAATGACCAACAAATGGATGTCATGCTTGTATGCAAAGTTTTAGCATCTTTAAGGAATGATTCTACTAATGTATAATCAAAATAGATTTTTTTTTCAGATACTGTTTGCTTGGATTTAATTTCTTACTTCCTTGCAACCATTTTAAAAGGTAAATGGCATTTGAACAGATCCAAAAAACAGGATATTCAAGTTTTTGTAGTAGATACCATCATTAATGGGAGAGGGCGGTCCATTTCATGTGAACTGATTAAATGCCTGCTGAACTTGTCTAGAATATTGCATGTAATTCACTCAAGTTCATGCACTTTGAAAAACACAGAATTATGATCTTGCCTTTATGACTAACTTACTCTAAGAGGAAATTGTGGTTCATTCTATAAAAATGTATAAATCTATTTTGGAGCCATTTGAAGAATTGGTAAAAACACGTGAGAAAAGATGAACTATCCTTATCAACTTTTGTCTTTTTTGTAGGGCTACAAATAAGATAAAACTATTGAACTAAAAGATTAAGTAACAAATTCATGGATGATAATGATGGAGTTGAAGTAGTTATAAGGAGAGAGAAAAAAGGAGTGGAGGTGATTCAGGATTTTTTTTATTATTATTATTTTTTGTGGGGTGGGGTGGAATTAGTAGTGCTGAGTCAACCCTGAGGTAATGACAATAATTAGGATTTTATAAATTAAATCCAAGGTGTTTTTATTTCTAATATTAATAGGAAGATGAACCCTAAAGAAGTACATTAAACTTGTTATTCGTTGGATGCTGGGACCATAAGAAGGGGCAGCCTGGTGCTAGAGAAGGGTTCGACCCACTATGTGGGTCTCTAATAGGCATGCTTACCTTTAATTTGCAAGAGACCAATTCCACGACTCAAACACATGACCGCAGGTCACATGGTGACAACTTCAAATGGCTGCTGTGGCTTTCCTTCGGAAGTTGGAACCATAACATCTCTAAATCAGTACATATCCTAATCTTGATGCCTAACTTTGTGGTTGGATGAAGTAAATTAAGACGTTAACACAAATACCTTGTTCGACTAAAGTAAGGAAATAGAAGTATTTTGATCAAAAACTTTAAAATCGAAAATAATGAAATTCAAATCGTTCACAAATAGTTGTAGTACAAAGTCCCTGGTTGTATACTGGGAAAGTTTGAATTATTTAAAGTCAACCTAAACTTGTTACAAGGCCTCTCTATACTAAGGTTAATGCAACTCATCTCCAGAATTTCCTTGCCAACAACTGTAATAGATTTTAGTTCCAGTGAGCACCTTACAGATACAGCATCAGAATCTAGAGTTTGTTGTCCGACAACTGAGGGTAAAATATTTTATTAAAAATGAAAAATATGAAGACTAGGTTATGAGTTAAAAAAAATGGTATTAGGCTCTTCCATCACCCAACCACAATGTGTATTCTGATAATAGTGATAAGGGAATTGAAGGAAAATTGGTAACAAATGAAGATTTTTCCTTATTTAAGGGTTTAAAAATTTGTTAACAAAACAAAGTTTAAGATTTAGGAATGGGAAGGGAATGTGATGGTGGAAGTATTTCCCTTCAATCTCAAACTTTCTGTTTTCTTTGTATGGGGTTGAAATTATAAAGAATTTTGTTGGGTTTGATACTTTGATTGAACATTAGTACAAAATTAAAACACATTAGGATTCAGTCCTTTTGTGAAGTTAGTAAATGAAGTTTATTTTTCTATTTTTACATATTTAATAGTTTTCATTATTTCAATATATATTAATGTGATTACCGTAGTATATGAAAAATATAATATACATTTTTATACATTAAAGTTTAAACTATCAATTTAGCCCTCCAAACATTTTTATACATTCCTATTACCATAGTATTTTGATGAATGGTAACCTGATAGAAGGGCCGTTTTGATGTCATTTGCAACCCTTAGAGGACCAAGTTGATAGTTAGTCTTTTTTTCCTTAAGTAAATTATGGTATTCTATTTATTGAAATGTATAGTAAACTGTTCCTTCATGACTGAAAGGTCATGGGTTCGAATCCAGGAAACAGCCTCTTTGCAATTATGCAAGGGTAAGGTTGCATACAAGGATTTCCTTCACTCCACACTCACTAGTCGGGTTTAACGGGGAGTGGTTTTTGTAGTTTTTTTTATAGTAAGCTTGTTTAATATTATTTTTTATAAACCTTGAATGATTAATAATGTAAGAATAGAACATTATATATTTTACAAACTTGTGCATCGCATGGGTACAAAATCTAGTTATATGTGATTGAGTCCAATTTAGCATAGAGCAACTTTCTAAGATGCTAATAGCTCCCAGGAGACTATGTGGGATCTCAGCCTCTGCTGAGGGCAACCAATTTTATTACAAATGTAGTAAAATAATGTGGCCTTTTGGGAACATTGCTTCCAATTTTGTGAATAAATATGGATCGTCTTTTGGAATTTCAAAATTTTACTATACAGAGGTTACATGTTGGTTTTTGGCTGTTTCAACTTTTGCAGGTTGGCATTCTCCTTCGAGTAATGGGTTATCCTTCCAAAACAATCATTTACCTGGCTGGTTCTGAAACATTTGGAGGTCAACGTGTTTTGATTCCTTTGCGGTCCATGTTTTCCAATATAGTGGACTGCACTTCCTTGTGCAGTGAGAAAGAGTTGTCTGACTTGGTTGGACCAGAAACACCTCTTCCTCAAAATACTTTTCAACCACCTCCTGCAAAAAGTGAGGAAGAACTTAAAGAAGAATGGAAGAGAGCTGGTCCTCGACCTCGGCCTCTTCCTCCACCTCCAGATAGACCAATTTACCGACATGAAAAAGAAGGTTGGTATGGTTGGATCACTGAGACCCCTACAGAACCTGATCCTTCACCTATGGATCTGAGGATGAAGGCACACAGATTACTTTGGGATGCGCTTGATTACATTGTTTCGTTGGAAGCAGATGTCTTCTTTCCTGGATTTAACAATGATGGCAGTGGATGGCCAGATTTTTCAAGCCTTGTCATGGGACATCGACTGTATGAGAATGCTGCTTTTAGAACATACCGACCAGACAGGTAAAATGCACTGGGAGTTGGAATTAATTTATTGATATTCATGAAGGAGGTACGATATAAATAGGTTTCATTAAAAGCATTTAATTCCCTTATTTTATTACGGAACCAAAATGGCTAGTTGCTTAGTTGAAAAGGCTGTAAAAGATGGCATAGTTTCAGGAAGTTTTGCTTTTTGGGCTGGAACAAGGTGGGGGGAGGCAAAGGGTAAATTTGTAGGGAGGACAAACCACATTTATACCTTTTACTCCACTTCGATAACTAGCAATGCCTTCCAGAGAGGTGGCTCATCCTATGTTATTTATCTAACGAACACTCTTACAATTTTCTTATGTTTGGATTCTGACATTCATACGAGTCAGATTTGAATTGTTGAAAATCAATACTAGACATGACACTTCTCTTATAGCAAACTGTGGAACTTCCTGGGTAAAATTTTTGTACATTTTTGTACTTGTTCATCGCATTTAGCCAAATAATCAAATGTTTGCATGGTATTCCCTCCTTTCCACATGTGCATTTTGAATGTAGTCATCTTTTCTTTTTCTTGATTTTGTGTCAGTTGATGTCTCGAGAATTGCATGCACATTTGTATCTGAAGTGATTAGTGTGATGACTTTCCATTCCTTCGTGATTGCTTTTGTTTTTAGTTAGTAGTTGAAATTTCTCTGTTGAAGTTATCTATCGATATATCCCTGCATTTTACATTTTATTGTGACACTACTCTATCTGGTCTTCAACAGGAAAGTTATTGCGGAACTTTTCAACATCACTCGTGAAAATTTGTACCATCCAAAGCATAATTGGACAATTTTAGTCCATGAACATCTTAACAAAAGTATGACAGAAGAAGGCCTCATAAGGCAATCTCTCTTGTCAAAACCAGCTATGTTCCTTTCACATCCACTTCCAGAATGCTCCTGTAGAATAGCTTCTACCAAGGTTGCCAATCGTGTCAGAGGTGAGGATAGCCGGTTTCTATATGGAGACGAAGACCAGTGCCCCAAATGGATGCAGAGTGCTGATAAGGCAGGTTCATTGGGGAAAGAAGGGGTCAAATCCGAAGACGATGGTCTGCCAGATTATTAAAGTAATGGTTTTGTTGATGAATCTGAATCTGATAAAGTCGATGGCAAAACCAATCAGACTCCACAGTGGGATCAAGATGTGGAAATGGATCCAAATGACTAAAAGTGGATGAGCATATCGTAGCTATAGCCTATAGTTATATAGCATCCAATTTTTCCGTAATTTCTGAGAGGCATAGGTTATAACATGCTTCGGCGACGTACATGTCTCAATGCTATCTTTGCTGAGCATATGGGTTATTCAAATCTATTCTTTCATTAATTTTGGGTTATTTCTCCGTGGACAAAGAGAACATTTTTCTTTTTCTTTTTTTCTTTTTCACTTTATACTTACCACTTCCAACAGAATTTTTGTTGTAACATACACATTACAAAATGAAGGAAAAAGGATCAGCCGTCGGCTTAATTGCAGCACAACAGATAAAGTTTCCAAGATTGTGTGTCTACAGTTTATATTCCAATTGTTTCTGTTTTGTAATATCTTCTCTGTTTTTAGTTATGTGGATGTTCGTTGTCGCGGTCATCTTACTTAGGACATTCCTCTTTCTTTCACTAGTTTATATTTGTATGCATGGAGAGTCTAACACAACTTAGTGATGAATAGCAGTTTGCGGATGACCTGTTACTGTACGCAAAAGTCTCCCTCGATGAAGCTAAAATCATTAAAGACACCCTCAATTATTTTTGTTGTTCCTTGTGTCAAAAAGTCAAAACAAGAAAAAAAAATCAAATTCTGTTTATCAAGAAATGTCAATCATAACAGAGCTTGTGAAATAAGTGAAGCCTTGGGATTTGATCTCACATCTGATTTGAACAAGTATCTAGGAATTCTCTTACACCACAAAAAGAGTAGGGAGATTTTCCTTTCACCACATAATTTCCAGAGTTCAGAAAAGGCTTAATTCTTGGAATCAAGATAGCCTTTCCTTGGCATGAAGGCTTACCCTGGCTCAACCTGTCTTAGGAGCTCTATCTTCTTATTCCATGCCAACTAGTTTCATTCCTTTGGGTACGTGCAATGAGGTGGAGAAATACACGAGGAGCTTTCTTTGGGGATCAAGTCATGATCATTAAAAAGTCACATATCAAGATTGGGCATGGACCTTATCCCCAAGATAAATGAGAGGAATCTCACTGAACTGGGACAAAATTACTAATGCTTCTAGGATTCTACTTGGAAATGATCAACTAGCTCATTTCTGGAGTAATAAATGGCTACCCAACCTTGAGCAACTTCTCCTCCTAACCAATTCAACCTAATCTGTTGTGTTGTGTCTAAAGATGGTTGATTTTGTTAATGGTCAGGGCTGTTGGGACTGGAACAAATTCCAGCACTTAATTCCTAAGGAAGCAGTAGATCATATTGCTAACATCATGCCCCCACAAGATCGTTATTCCCAAGATTGAGTTATTTTGAACTTGTCCAACGATGGAGTTTTTAATCTCAAATCAGCTTACTCCCTCCTTGTGCAGCATAATTCTGCTACTTCAAACCCAAAGTAAAGTCATCTTGGAAATGGGATGGACCACAAAGGATTATGGTTATTGTTAGGTGACAATCTTCTAACTAATGAAAAAGGATAAAAAGGAGCTCATCTTCCACCTGCTCTTGATGTCTTAAGAAATGCAGAAAGCACCATTCACACCTTTCAGGATTGTCCTAGTTGTGTACTAATGTAGTTGCGCTACAATGGTATTCCCTCTGCAGTATGGCCGTATAATGGATATTGAATTGAAGATCCCTCCCCGCCCTCCATGTTATTGCTTTGTTGAGGTATTGTCTTTATTCTCTTTTGTATTTGTTTGTGCTCAGTTCTCTCTGGTTGTGTACGTGTGTGGTTATCTTTTCTTCTGCCATTTGATTATTTCTTTTTTGTTGGCATTGCTAGTTTGACAATGCTCGAGATGCAGAAGAAGCAATTCGGGGTCGAGATGGATACAACTTCGATGGTTGTAGGTTAAGGGTGAGGAGCTGTACTGACTTTTTTCTTGTTAGATAAATACTTTTTTGGTGTCTAATATGTTCTTGTTGTAGGTGGAGCTTGCCCATGGCAGTAGAGGGCCATCATCAAGTGACCGACGGGGATACAGTGGCGGTGGCGGTGGAGGTGGAGGTGGAGGTGGTGGTGGAGGTGGAGGTGGAGGTGGTGGTGGAGGTGGTGGTGGCGGTGGCGGCCGCGGCGGCGGTGATGGAGGTGGTGGGGGGCGTTTTGGGGTCTCACGCCATTCTGAATATCGAGGTCTGTCTATTAGGAGAATCCTTTTCTTTGATACAGAAAAGGATAGGGAGCATATGATAAATGATTTTTTTCCTTCAGACTGTTTACCCATTTAGTTATGCTTTTTCATGTTATATTTTTCATTTTTGAATTAAGAAATGAATTTTTGTTTGTATCTCATTCCAAGTCATTACAAGGCAGTCTTAATGCTTAGAACTTTGGAACCATGGTCCATGACTATAAACTGTATGTGTACAAGTATGACATTCTGAATATCTGTGTGTCTAATTGGAGAATCCTTTTCTTCGATACAGAAAAGGATTAGGAGCATATGCTAAATGATTTTTTCCTTCAGACTGTTCACCCATTTTGCTTTTTAATTTTATTTTTATCATTTTTGAACTAAGAATTCAAACTTTTTTAGATGCATATTTGTCATTCCAAGTCATTGCAAGCTCCGAGACTATGACTGCATATGTATAAGTTTTTCCATTTTCAAAAAATTGTTTTGCATGTGTTTTCTTTGCTTTATATGTTTTGTAATCTACGAGATAACTATTTTATGTGTATTACTACAAATCGACCCTAGTTATTCAAGGTATTACTGGTTTCATATTTTTCATGATATTGTGTAACACCTTATATTTTTGTCTACAGTTATTGTTCGTGGACTCCCATCTTCTGCATCATGGCAAGATTTGAAGGTATTGGAATTTTCATACGTAAAAAATCAATAAGTATATTTAAATCACTTAACTATGTTTTGAATATTTGGTTTCAGGATCATATGCGAAAAGCTGGTGATGTTTGTTTTGCTGAGGTTTCCCGTGATAGTGAAGGTAAACTTCCATTTTTGTTTGTGTTTTGCTATGTTTTTATTAGACTGTTACCATGAATTATTATGTTTACATTGGAGTTAGGTTGTGATGCTTTGTATATTTCGGTACATCTGAGAAATATAAAAGAAATCACGGCCTAATAAAACATAAATAATGTAGTTGGATGCTCCCTTTATTTTGTTTTAATTTTGGGTTCTGCTTGTTTTCATTGCAAAATTTAGTTCTTGAAGCTTAATTTGCCGGTAGCTGTCCTAGATTCTATACCTTTTATCAGCAAAAGTCAACTTATATGAAAAATAAAAATATTGTTATGAGACTTCAGGGACTTGAATTTAATAACCTAGGAACATACAAATGCAAAATGAATGTTCATGATTCAGATTCTATTGTTTGAAATAGTAAGATTAAGATTGAAGAAAGGAGCATAATAAAAATGAAAGCCGGCTCTCTTAGTAGGCACAGGTTTTTTAATGTCTTTTTGTTGTGTTTCTACTGGGGTGCTTAACTCCTTAAAATTGTTGTTTATCTTTGTAATGAAGGGACAAAATAATCTTTACCCGTTACTTTTAACCTGCAACACTTTCTAATAAGTAGTAATCATCCTTATTATCAGTTTGGAGTCCACAGTTCATAGGTGAAGTTCTCTACCCTCAAGGCTATATAAGCCCAATGATGACTTAAAATAGCAAGGATCTAAATTTTGCCTCAACGGCATCATATCTGATTTTGTTCTTAATTTCATAATACCATTTGAAGGGACTAAAGTCCACCTTCCCAATCCCAAAAAACCTCATTAGAGGTTTCCTTTCTTTCATGTGAAAGTAAAATCTTTCCCCAAGGCACTTTGATAGAAACTGAATCATATAATCAGAGAACAAAGAGAATGCGCAGTGTTTGGCCCAGAAAATATCTGAATTTTCAGTATATTTCACTGAAGATAATGCTGAATATTGAAAAGAGGTTTTTGTATATTGATATTGAATAAATTACATGAGTGAGTATTTATACAAGAAAGAATCGCTAAGAATGACTAAGCGATGACTAATCAATCCTATCACAATCCTAATCACAATCAATTCTAATCAATCACAATTAATCCTAATCAATCATAATCAATCCTAATCAATCATAATCAATCCTAATTAATAGGAAATAAAAACGGAAACATGTTTGAATTCTAATTTTCTACACTCCCCCTCAAGTTGGGAGGTAAATATTGATCATTCCCAACTTGCCAATCAAGTCTTCGAATGCTGGACGGTGTAGGCCCTTGGTAAGGACATCTGTTGTTTGCTCTTTGGTTGGAACATATATCAAATGCACACTTCCATCATCTAATTTTTCTTTGATGAAGTGACGATCAACTTCCACGTGCTTTGTTCGATCATGATGCACAGGATTTTGAGCAATGCTAACAGCTGCCTTGTTGTCACAATATAGTTTTATTGGTAGGGAATATGAAATCTTCAACTCTTGAAGAAGTCTTCTCAACCAGATTCCTTCACAAACTCCATGAGCTAAAGCTCGAAATTCTGCTTCAGCACTACTTGCAACCACTGTTTGCTTTTTGCTTCTCCAAGTAACAAGATTTCCCCACACATAGGTGCAATAGCCTGAGGTAGATCTTCTGTCTACTGATGAGCCTGCCCAATCTGCATCAGTGTAGATTTCAATTGTCCTTTTATACCCCTTTTTAAAGAATAATCCTCTTCCTGGAGTATTCTTGAGGTATCTAAGCACCCTATAGACTGCACTAAGATGCTTCTCCTTGGGTGAGTGCATGAATTGACTAATCATACTCACCGCAAAGGCAATGTCAGGACGCGTATGAGATAAGTAGATTAGTTTACCAACCAATCGCTGATATTGTTCTTTATCCACCTCATTCTCATCTTCAATACCTAACTTGGTATTAGGTTCCACAGGTTTCTCAGCAGGTTTACACCCTAACATTCCTGTTTCCAACAAAAGATCTAGAATATATTTCTTTTGTGTTAGAGTGATGCCTGTTTTGCTCCTAGCAACTTCCATACCAAGGAAATATTTGAGAGTGCCAAGGTCTTTGAGTTCAAATTGAGCTGCTAGAAATTTCTTCAAGGTGTTCAATTCCTCAATATCATCACCTGTAAGAATTATATCATCTACATATACAATAAGAATAGCAATTTTACCATCCTTAGAGTGTTTGTGGAAGAGAGTATGATCAGTCTGTGCTTGAATGAAGCCTCTTCTTTTGACTGCTGTGAATTTGTCGAACCATTCTCTGGGAGACTGTTTCAATCCATATAGAGACTTTTTTAGTTTACACACTGATCCATTTCCCTTTTCAAAACCAGGTGGAGGATCCATATAGACTTCTTCATGTAAGTCACCATTTAGGAATGCATTCTTCACATCTAACTGTTGCAGAGGCCAATCTAGATTGGCAGCAAGAGATAAGAGAACTCGGATGGTATTGACTTTAGCAACCGGAGCAAAAGTCTCATGATAATCTATCCCATGAGTCTGAGTGAAACCCTTTGCAACCAATCTTGCCTTGTATCTGTTGATGCTATTATCTGCATTGAATTTTATTGTAAACACCCATTTGCATCCTACTGCCTTTTTTCCTTTGAGTAGGGTCACTATCTCCCAAGTTCCATTTCTTTCTAAAGCATTCATTTCTTCAAAGACAGCATCCCTCCATTTTTTATCATTGAGAGCCTCATGTATATTTCTCGGTATCTTTGTACTATCCAACATAGTATTGAAAGCACGAAACCCTGGGGACAACTGTCCATATGAAATATGATTAGAAATAGGATGAGTAGTACAAGATCGAGTACCTTTTCTGAGAGCAATGGGCAAGTGTAGATCATTTTCACCATGACACTCAAGTATTGGGGTGCTGGAACTAGAACATGGTTCAGAATCCTGGCAGTGTAGAGGCTCTGGGTTATTCACACTTTGAGGAGGCTTTCGCCTGCTATAAACTTGTCCCCATTTTGAGGAGGCTCCTGATGGTGAGGATTCTGTAGCTCCCCCTGTTTCCAAAAGTAGAGGTAATACTGTGGCATTAATAGGTTCCCATGACTGATCTTCATCTACTCCTATAGACTCCCCCTGAAGAGAAGTCGAGGGGAAGAAAGGGTCATTCTCAGAAAAAGTGACATCCATAGAGACAAAGACCTTACGAAGAGAGGGTGAATAACACTTATAGCCACGTTGAGTAGGAGAATAACCAATAAAGACACACTGGAGAGACTTAGGATCAAGCTTAGACCGTTGATGGGAGGGAATATGGACAAATACAACACAACCAAATAACTTGAGAGGTAAGGAGGAGACACCTCGGAAGGAAAGGAAGATACGAACAAGACTAGAAAGAGGAGACTGAAATTTCAGAATGCGAGATGGCATTCGATTTATCAGATACGAGGCAGTGAGAACTGCCTCTCCCCAAAGATATTTAGGAACACTCGTGGTAAACATAAGAGCCCGAGCAACTTCAAGGAGATGTCGGTTTTTTCTTTCCGCAACTCCGTTTTGTTGGGGTGTGTCAGGACACGAGCTTTGGTGAAGGATGCCATGTTGGGAAAGATATTCTCCAAGAATAGAGTTAAAATACTCTTTGCCATTATCTGTACGAAGAATTTGTATAGCAACTTGGAATTGGGTTTGAACCATGGCATGAAATTTTTTAAACACGGATGCAGCATCAGACTTATCCTTTAGAAGATACACCCAACAAACTCGAGAATGGTCATCAATGAAGGTAATGAACCATCGAGTACCTGAAATATTTTTAACACGGGCTGGACCCCATATGTCGCTATGAATTAAGGAAAATGGGGAAGAGTCATGGTGAACTTTAGAAGGATAATGAGCACGAGTATGCTTGGCAAGTTGACAAATATCACAAGAAAACAAACTTGGACTTTTATTAATAAATAAGTTTGGCAACAACTTCTGAAGATAAATAAAATTTGGATGGCCTAGCCTACGATGCCACAGCATAACATCATTACATGAATCAAAAGGAAACATAGAGTTTTTTTCTACGAAAACAGCTTCATGAGTCACATCCTCCTCAAAGTAGTAAAGTCCACCATCCTCTCTACCACTGCCAATCATCCTCTCCGAGTCCTGTTCCTGAAAAACACAACCATGTGGAAAGAATTTAGCAAAGCAATGCAACTCAGAGGTGAGCTTGCTAATGGAAATGAGATTATAAGTCAGAGAAGGAACATAAAGAACTGATGTCAAAGTAATCAGCTCAGAAAGTTTAATGGTTCCGTGTCCCGCAATCTGGGAAAAACTGCCATCGGCGATCTTGACCCGAGAAGGTTCAGAATATGGAGTGTATGAACAAAACAAGCCAAGATTACCTGTCATATGATCAGAGGCTCCAGAATCAAGGATCCAATGATTTTGACTATCAACATGGAAAGTTGTACCTTGCTGGACCACATGACTAGTGGCCTTAGGAGGTTGCTCGTGGTAATAAAAAGAGTGTTTTGAGGAAGCCATGAATAAAAAGAGAAGGGTTGACCGTTGATGAAAAATCAAGTTTTGTAAACTTTTGATCTGACCTCTGGAACAGGAAGGGGAGAAGCCGGCGAGAAGGTCTGTGCAAGTCGCGACGGAAAAAAAACGTCTGGAAGGCGGCGCGTGGTGGCGCGTGCAGCGGCTGACGGCGATGGGTCCAGCGGCGGTCGACTCGTCGGATCCTTCTGAGTCGAATGGTCACCTCACTTTTTTTATCGGAGGTCAGTAAACTAGGTTTCTGTGTTGGACAGATTCAAGGCGGTGTTTAGGAGGTGTTTGACGGTGATGGAAGTGTTTGGATGGTTATTTCAGATTTGAATTAGGGTAGGAACGAATCCGCTCTGATACCATATTGAAAAGAGGTTTTTGTATATTGATATTGAATAAATTACATGAGTGAGTATTTATACAAGAAAGAATCGCTAAGAATGACTAAGCGATGACTAATCAATCCTATCACAATCCTAATCACAATCAATTCTAATCAATCACAATAAATCCTAATCAATCATAATCAATCCTAATCAATCATAATCAATCCTAATTAATAGGAAATAAAAACGGAAACATGTTTGAATTCTAATTTTCTACACTGAATGCAAAGAAACCAAAAGACAATTACAAATGGAAAACAGAGACAAATTACAGTGACTGATCCTAATTACATAAGCTAAAACTCTAGAGGAATTATAGAGCAGCTAGTCTCTCCCAAATCACCCTAAGGTGCCCAAAGTTCCAAATGCCCAAAGATGACTCTCCTTCCTTCCCTGTTGCCTTTTAACCACCAAACTCTCTCTTTGCCACCTCATCACTTCTAACAGAATTAGAGCCTTCCAACAACCTTACCTCTTGAATATTCCTTTTATTAGCTGACTCATCCTTCTTAAATAATTCCCTGTGGCCATTCTTATGATAAACCATTAGTGGGGTTCCTATCACACTTCTTTGATGAGACTTGAGAGATGAATAGAGCTGAGAATTTAATGCCCTATTTATTTTATAACTCTAGTTTTGTGGTGTCTGTCTTCTTAATATCTGGCCTAGTTGTGAAAGGATTTTCTACTTATGTCTCAGAATCTCAATAAGTATGATGTGTGAAGAGAATGATCAAACATGCAGCTTAGTAATTTCAAATAACCTGAATGATTCCAATTTCTGTATGTCTGGAATGATATTAAGCTGGTAAATTACAATTTGTAGGATTGAAGACTTGGAGCTGAGTGCTCTAAATATAATACATGTAACACCCTTTTGTATTAGTCCATGCATCAGTGCATTTATTTTAATGGGCATCAAGCATAGTAGATAATCTGGTCTACTGGTTTTTCATGCATGATGCAATCTATGCCATTTGAACTTCATTCTTTGATGTTTGCTTATGCTGAATTAAGATTCTATGGAATCAGTTGATTATATATATATAATGATTAGAAAGGTGGGGGAGCGTTTTCCTGGAGATTGTCATGTACTGGTGCCTCAACTTATATAAGCCTTTGTTATATGAATTGGTTACTTCTAACATTAGAACTTACATAATGTATTCTTATTTCAGCAAATTTTGATGCTAAAGGCTTATTACTCATACTATTGATCTCTGTTTAGGGACTTTTGGTCTTGTTGACTACACTAATTATGACGACATGAAATATGCTGTAAGTTTTTCATCTTGGTGAATCATACCAAGATTGTTACTAGATTCCACTTCCATCTCTCTCCTAACATTTCTGTTTCACAGATTCGGAAACTGGATGACACTGAATTTAGAAATCCTTGGGCTAGAGCTTATATTCGGGTAACTAGATCTATATTTATAAAATTTCGCATGTGTAAACTTCAACTTTTACGTGTTGATAGATCCTGCACTCTTCTTTCTTTTATCTTTATTTTTTTTTCTATAAAAAGATCTTGCACACCCTCACTTAAAGCACGAAGTGAAGGATTATTTCATGGATTGTGTGAAGAAGTGTTTTCTGGAGAGTTATGCCTGAATAAAAGTTGTGGACAATAATTTTTAGTGGTATTTGTGCAGGTGAGGAAGTATGAGAGTAGTCGTTCACGGAGCCGCAGCAGAAGCCCCAGCAGGAGCAGAAGTCCAAAGAGGGCTAGAAGGTATTGCCACTTTCTTATTGTTCATTGTCCTGTTTAGACATTACTTTTACTTATGGAAGGTCCTGTTTCATTCTGCAGCAGATCTTTGGAGCGATCTGTGTCTAGGTCACGATCTAGATCCAGATCAGCATCACCAATCAAATCTTCCAGGTACACAAAGCATACTTTTGTTAAATATGGTTGTGTTGCTTTAAATCTACCATATTTATGCACCTGAATTGTTTCTTCAATTTTGCAGGCCAAGATCACGTTCACGATCTGGATCTCCACGCCAGGTATATAACACTTTTAAATTAACTGATTGATAATCACCATAAGATTCTTTGATTGAAGTAGTGATTCAAAAATTGAAAGTTTTTTCCAATAAATCAATGTATTTTAGGATTTAACTTGTGTCTTCTCGACTTTGTACGCATTCTTTTCTTTTGTTTAGAACTAAGATTACAGAAAGTTGGAACAACTGAAATTTTAAGTGTTATAAAAAGCACGTTTTTATAACATGCTTATTCGAAGTTCAAGTGAGGATTGAACTTCTGAGTGATAAATTCATTTTTTCTTTTGATTTGTTTTACCGAAACAGAATGTAAATCACGCTTGTTTTAGTTCATGTTTGTATATTTCTTTTGCTTTTACATTTCTTATAGAAATTTTTTATCTATATCTGAATTAAGAAGTGTTAGAGAATAATATAAACTATTGAAAAAGCCCCTACTCAATATCACAAGGTCACAAGTTCGATCCTCACTGCCCCCTATTTGTGGAATTAAATAAGTATAAGCTAAACCAAAAAAAATTGGACTATGCAATATCTACGCCTCAAGCCCAAATGGCTCTTGCGTGAGGGGGTGTTTTAGAAAATAATATAAACTATTGAAAAGGCCCTCACTCAATACTTTAAGGTTTTGGGTTGAAATGGTTATTTAAAAGAAGCATGAACTTTTTTGCAGGTGCTGTCAGGTAGCGGTTGATTTACGGATCAAAGCAGGTGGTTCTCTGGAGTTACTGTCCCATTCTTGGGCAGTATTGGCATTATGTTTGAGTTGGTTTAATTTGTTTGATGGAAAATCATTAATGTACCAGAATTGTTTTCTTGGTAATTCATCCGTTTGCTGATTCTGTAGGGCCTAAACTTGTTTGATGTGCTGCTACCAATTTGGCTTTATTTCGTTTAAACAAGAATGTTGGATGTCAGCCTACCGGTTGCACTTTTCAACGAGTTAGTATGAAATTGATAATGTATTTTAAATGTTTTTTTAAGTTTTGCAAGCAGGAAATTTATTTTAAAATTAAGAGTAAATACTTTTTTTTTGGTCTTCAGGAAATTTCACGATGTCCGCTTTAGTCCCTAGCAAATAAAAAGGTCCATCGTGGTCTTTAAGAAATTCAAAATAGACATATTTTAGTCCTTTTAAGGACTAATATGGGTCTTTTTTGAATTTGTGAGAGATCACGATTTCAACTAAATGAGTCTATTTTGAATTTCTTAGGAATCACGATAGGTCTTTTTTATTTGTTAGGGATTAAAACGGGCATCGTAAAATGTGCTGAAGATAAAAAAAGGTATTTACTCTAAAATTAATGAGATTCACTGGCGCACCATCATCTAAACTTAATCCGTTGGGATGAGTGAAGTGCTAGTTCGATGCAAATTACGATCTTGTGACAATATGCCGCATTTGAGCGGCCAACAATGTTTTGATACTTGGTGTTGATTCGAGTGCAACCAGCGTAGATCTTTGTTATTGTGTTTAACAAGAGATTATGTCTATGAAAAAAATACGTCTGAGTACACCTTTGTGCCATATTTCCACTTATTTGGTTGGCAGTATTTTGATAAAAAAAGGTGTGATTGTTTTGAATTGGGTATCTTCACTGTAAAAATCTTATGGATTGTCTGTTTTTAGTTTTTATGAGTTGTAAACTAAATTGACTCACCTTTCTAATGTTAAAATAAGCGTTCTCGTTTGTTTTTCTTATTTCTATTTTTCTAAATGTTAGATTAGGGGCTATTTAAATGTAGCGTTAGGCATCTTCAAAGTTAAGTAATAAGGTCTTTTAAGTTGGATTGGTTAAACTGATTATAAAATACTCGGATGGGGTTTGAGGTTTGAAGGGAAAATGGGTGTGGTCATATCGCAATAGTCCGTGTAAAATCAGGATTTTATATATGATGGTAAATTTGGGAGTAAAAAATTAAGTAAAATTTTTTAGCAGTTAGTTTACTTTTATAGTGCTCAGTATATTCACTTCTAATCTAATTTAAAGCAGTTCGTTATTTTAGCGTATTAGAATTCAAAGCTAAATATGCCGTTTGCGCTTTGAAGACAAAATTATGAGTTTTAGGAAGAAAGGAAAAAAGAGAGTTTGAAAACAGTCCATGTTTATATAATTATGTATGGAAAATAATTTTCTCGTCTTATACAATAGAGACAAAGTAGTGGGGTGTACTATTTTTTTTTTCTTTTTAAAAAAAATAGTAGATTCCACTATTTTATCTCTGTTGTATGAGATAATTATCTCATACAATATGAGATAAATAGATCCCATTATGTATATGTATGTCCGTAAGCTGTATTAAAAATAAGAGAAAAATATCCTTTGCATCGTATACAGGAATCCTTATTAGGAATCACGGCTTGTATTATACAATCAATAACCGAGTTTTGTGTTATATGTAAAAAGCACTTTGGGTGTTACAACTAACCGCTTAAATTTCTTGGATAATTAATTTGACATGGCATTGAAAATCCTAAAGTGATTAACGTTTTGATAATCTTTACATGGTTGGATAAGAGTATGAAATGATAAGAGCTTAATAAACTCATATCTTATCTTATGTTTAATGCGCATTGAATAAATAGTATAATATGATTATATTATCTCATCCTATGTTTGAAATGAAACAGATAATGTTGAGATATAATATAAATATACAAAAATACCCTCTATAAAAATTATATATTTATTTTTAAAATTGATTTCTAAACTATTTTTTTTTCTTTTCACTTATTTATACATTAGTTATTATCTTAATTTTTTTATAAATTTTAAAAACATAATTTTTAAATAAAATATATTCAAAAACGTATGGCGACACGAAGCTCCGCATCTTATGCACTTTCCTCTTTCTCCTCTACCAACCATCACATCCTCCCTCTCATCAATAAAACAACAATGGGTTAGGGTCAGATAAACTAAAACTCAATCCTTATGACTTTTCTGGACTCGCATTAGACAGTACTAGTAGAGTTAGTTGAAAAAGTCATGCTTTTACATAAACTAGAAGACACATTGGGAACACACAATATCTCAATCTTCGCACCCAAAAACGAAGATCTTGAATGAGATCTCCACCCTGATTTCAAATGCTTCATTCTCGAACCACGAAACCTCAAGTCCCTTCATACACTTGCATTAGACAAGTCAAAAACAACAATTCACCGTATTCAGAACAAAAATCATGGACAGTGATGGTAGCAGTGAACGTGCTTCTTATGCGCTATGCTAATTCATACTCTGGTATCAAGGGTTCGTCAACGGTGATGGTAGCCAATGGCAGTGACTGGCCGATGGGTTGATGGCGGTGGCTGACTGTGATAGGGATAGCTCTCGGGTGCTTATGTTCCCAAGAGGCAAAGGGTTTTTTGGGGGAAATTTTTTTTATCTTATCCTCTTTGACTCTAACCCAGCTCACTGTCATGATTAGTTATTAGGTTGAGAGTATAATAATATGAGTTAATAGGATAACTTTATCATATTCTATTGACTCACCAAATAACAAATAAGAATGAGATTAGATATTATATCTTATTCTACTCCCCTGATCTTGTCCACCAAATGGACTTTAAGTATTAACATGTTCCCTAGCACATAAGATTTAGTCGGGTTTATATATATATAAAAGGGGAAGGTTATATTTATAAAATTTTTGTTTACAAACTCTTATAAACTATATTAAGTATGACCGGTATACTTCAATCAAAAGTGTATGATCGGTCATACTTACTGTAATTTGTAAAAAAAAGTTTGTAAACAGATCATTCCCCTATATAAAATGAACTTGTCTATTCTCATGTAATATGAGATAGCATAATTTATATTAAGACACAAAGTGACGAGGCCCATTACTAAAAGAGAGAGAGAGAGAATGACAGCACAACTATCAAAGGGTTTATGGCACAAGATATAAGTTTCCTACGACAAGAGACTTGTATTTCCCGTATAAAAAAGTAATGGTAAGTTTAATTGATTCTCACGATTTTGAGCTTGATAGAATAAAATTAGTCTTAAATTGAAGCTAAAAGTACTTTCGAAAGGAACAATAAAATTCAAGGTTTGCAATAAAATAAAAAATACAAAACCAAGGTTTGAGCCCAATTTCGCTTGTAAGTTGGACAACAAAAATAACGCTACATACCCGAGAATAGAAATGTAGAGTTACTAAAGTAGCATAAATTAACAACAATTGTACAACAATGATTAAAATTCCAACAATTGTACAACTCAACAAATATTATCTCATTTCAACATTCCCCCTCAAGTTGGTGCATAAATATCAATCATGCCCAACTTGCTAATTGTTTCTTCAAACACTTTTCCTGATACAGCCTTTGTCAAGATGTCGGCTAACTGATCTTCAGATTTGATATAAGAAAATTGAATAATTTTTTGATCTAGCTTTTTCTTGATAAAGTGTCTATCCACTTCTACATGTTTGGTTCTATCATGTTGAACTGGATCATGAGCAATTTCAATAGCAGCTTTATTATCACAATGTAACTCCATAGGTTGATTGTAGCAGATTCCTAAGTCTTGTAGGATGCTCTTAATCCATAACAATTCACACACTCCATGTGCCATTCCTCTAAACTCTGCTTCTGCACTCGATCTAGACACAACTTTCTGCTTCTTACTCTTCCAAGTAACTAGATTGCCTTCAACAAAAGTAAAATATCCCGAAGTTGACTGTCTGCTAGTTTTATCTCCAGTCCAATCTGAATCTGTGTAGCCTTTAATTCCAGGACTATTATTTTTTTAGTAAAGCAGACCTTTCCCTGTACACCCTTTTAAATACCTCAATATTCGATACACAGCAGCCATGTGATCCTCACTTGGGTTGTGCATAAATCTACTCACAACACTAACTGCATAAGCAATGTCTGGCCTAGTATGTTAAATAAATTAGCCTCCCTACTAGCCTTTGATATCTACCAACATCAGTCTGTACTTGATCAGGATATAAACCCAATACATAATTCATTTTGATTGGTGTTTCTGCTGGTTTACATGTTGTCATTCCTGTTTCTGCAAGTAGATCTAAAATGTACTTTTTTGTGACAAAAAATTTCCCTTATTTGATCTAGCAATTTCAATTCCAAGAAAGTACTTTAATGATCCTAGATCTTTCATTTCAAACTCATTTGCTAAATGTTTTTCCAATAACTCCATTTCAAATAAATCATCACCAGTCAAAACCATATAATCAACATACACTATTAACACTGTTACCTTTCCTCCATTATGTTTTATGAATAGGGTGTGGTTTGCATTACTTTGTTTGTATCCAAACTTCTTCATGACTAGAGAGAACCTGCCAAACCAAGCTCTAGGCGATTGCTTGAGGTCATATAGTGCTTTTTTTAATCGACACACTTCATTTCCCTTCAAGTTGGCATGTTTGGCGCCTGGTGGAATTTCCATATACACTTCTTCTTCTGAGTCTCCATTTAAAAATGCATTCTTTACATCAAATTGCTTGAGTGGCCAGTTCCTGTTAGCTGTTATAGAAATCAGAATACGAATTGTGTTCAGTTTTGCTACTGGTGCAAATGTATCTTGGTAATCAACCCAATATTTTTGTGAGTATCCCTTAGCAACTAATCTGGCTTTATATCTGTCAAGGCTGCCATCTGCTTTAAGCTTCACAGTAAACACCCATTTGCATCCAATTGGTTTCTTCCCGGTTGGTAAAGGAACCAGGTCCCACGTTGAGTTTTTTTTGTAAGGCCTTCATTTCTACATTCATGGCTTCCTTCCAATTTGGATCATTCAAAGCATCCTGCACATTGTTAGGAACAAATATACTAGACAATTGATTAACAGATGCAATAT